CCAGATATGAAGTAGTAGGAGTATATGGACCTGTAGTCCTTATTAGCTTATACTGCTGTATATGATCTCCAGATATGAAGTAGTAGGAGTATATGGACCTGTAGTCCTTATTAGCTTATACTGCTGTATATGATCTCCAGATATGAAGTAGTAGGAGTATATGGACCTGTAGTCCTTATTAGCTTTACTACTGTATATGATCTCCAGATATGAAGTAGTAGGAGTATATGGACCTGTAGTCCTTATTAGCATTTACTACTGTATATGATCTCCAGATATGAAGTAGTAGGAGTATATGGACCTGTAGTCCTTATTAGCTTTTACTGCTGTATATGACTCCAGATATGAAGTAGTAGGAGTATATGGACCTGTAGTCCTTATTAGCTTATACTGCTGTATATGACTTCCAGATATGATGTACAAAATTCATTGAATTTTAAAAGCAAGTTTGAAAGGGTTTAAAAGGTTAAATAATATGAACATTCATTCAAAAAGAATTATACATTGACTGGACATTTCTATGGAACAACAACTGGTTTAGAGACTAACATCTAACCAAGGTAGAAGCTGAAAATAAGCAATATAATGATTATTATAAATTTTTATGCTTCCTCTTAAACAAGATATATCACAGACCTGTACATTAAATTGTTTTGTATCAAAGGAAAAATCATTAAGTAATTTTTATAAAGTTATCTCTTAGTTTGGAGGTAGAATGTTTGATTGGCCGTACACTTTGTAGTGCCTCCATCACTGGACCAGACTGCAATAGAAAGAGATGTGGAGGTTGTAGCCGGGAAAACAGCTCGGCTTGTTTGTCCTGCTCGGGCTATACCGCCCCCACTCATCTCGTGGTTCAGGGAAGATTTGAGTGTTATCGATCCAAGCACTAACAACCACTTCAGAATACTGAATGGTGGACGTGTCCTGGAGATCCTTGAAACTGAAGAAAATGATGCTAAAAAGTACACTTGTGTGGCCAGTAATATAGCAGGAGAAACATACAGTGATTTTAATTTAGATGTTCTGGGTAAGTCTAAGCTTTTGTTTTTATCCAAGAAGAAATATTATTTAAATACCTTTCTCTTCCTGATGTACATCTTACACTTCCTCAACAATATTAGAATTTATACTTGAATAAGACTGGTTGTGTGTTTAGTCAGAATGGTCGTTAAGAGATATTTCTGATTTTTCTTTTCATCTTCTGTGTAATGCTTTCTGACAAAGCAAAGCACTCTCCAGGTTCTGCATTGAGTGATGATTTTCATGATTTTAGAAACAACATGAAGAATGCTAAGCAGCTAATATTTTAAAATGCTCAACGATGATTAAGCTAAAAGGGATATTCTGATTTGTACATTATTAAGTGATGTTTTAAATACAGGGATGAGATCCTAATAATCATGGCCCAGCATGGCCCCGTGGTTAGGGTGCTTGGCTTGCAGTTTGAGGGTCATGGGTTCGAATACCTGTCCTACCAAACTGTTCGCCCTTGAGGCTGTAGGAGCATTATAATGTGATGGTCAGTCCCACTATTTGTTTCTAAAAGAGTAGCCCAATAATTGACAGTGGGTTGTGATGACTAGCTTCCTTCCCTCTTGTCTTTCGCTGCTAAGTTAGAGACAGCTAGTGTAGATAGCTCTTGTGTAGCTTTGTTCAAAGTGCAAACCAAACCCTAATGTCATTGTTAGATCTTTCAGGGAATCATATCTACATTGACCTTATATATACATATAGAGGATGGACATAAATGGTGGGAGAATCCTAATATTGTGATCAAAATAAACTCTCGGGAAGGTTCTTGTAGAGCTACTCTGTGTTGTTATGATTTGGCTAAAATATATTAAACTTCACTGTCATTATTAATTAATAAGTTGTTAATTATCTCCGTGGAACTTCCATGACAATAATTGGTTTGTACGTAATTAATTTTAATCGTTTACAATGCTGTATGTTGACACATGTGCACACACACATTAATTTATGGATGGTAATGTATGGCACTGCTCATGCTCTAAACATTAAACCATGATACTGAAAGGGAGATAACTTATAATTAACATTTCCATTTCTTTAGTTCCACCTAGTATTCCTAATGAACGTCTAAAGAATGATATTCGGGTTGTAGAGCGGGAGCTGCTAGTGCTGGAGTGCCAGGTGACTGGAAACCCAACTCCAAAGGTGAGTTTCAATTGGTTGTCATCTTGTTCATAATATACACTGTGTGGTCATATGAAGAATGTAATCACGCAACATATAATTATATTTACAGAAACAATAGCTAAACTCTGTTAGAATTATTATATCTACAGAAACAATAGCTAAACTCTGTTAGAATTATTATATCTACAGAAACAATAGCTAAACTCTGTTAGAATTATTATATCTACAGAAACAATAGCTAACCTCTGTTACAATAATGATATTCACAGGAACAATAGCTAAACTTTGTTAGAATTATTATATCTACAGAAACAATAGCTAACCTCTGTTACAATAATGATATTCACAGGAACAATAGCTAAACTCTGTTAGAAATATTATATCTACAGAAACAATAGCTAGGTATGATGGCAAGAGTGCTCGGTGACGGAGAAGAATCCATAGAGTTTCATGTGTCCGGTGGCGTCAAGCAGGGTGGCCTGTTGGCACCAACACTGTTTAGTATGTATTTATCAGCATTGCTGTCAGACGCCTTCAGGGATGGTTCGAGCGGAATACACCTGCGATATCGAATGGATGGAAAGCTGTTCAATCTTCGCCGTTTCCAAGTGTGCACAAAA